GGCTCATGCCTGTAATCCCAGCACTTTGGGAGGCAGAGGTGAGAGGATGGCCTGAGCCCATGGGTTCAAGACCAGCCTGGGCAACTTGATGAGCCCTCATCTCTATAATAAATCAAAACATTAGCCAGGCATGGTGGTGCATGCCTGTGGTTTCAGCTACTTAGAAGGCTAAGGCGGAAGGATCGCCTGAGCCCAGCAGGTCAAGGCTGTGATGGCTGTGAGCAGGGTGTCACTGCACTCTAGTCTGGGGGAAGGAGTGAGACTCCAACTCAAAAAAAAAAAAAAAATCTATTAATTTATGACACAAACAATTGGCAGTAGTCTCTTAATCCATCTATCCCTGCCCCCAATTCCCATTCCCTTCTGGCGACTATTTCCAAATCTTTTCTCTAGAATGTATCTGCAATATTTCCAAATAACATACACAATTTTCTCATTTGCAGTTTCAGATATTTTAGCAACTGGCCCCTCATATATACACACTTCTGTCTCCATCTTCTGATTATAATTTGTTAAAGCACTATGGAATATTCACATTATGAAGACCCTGTAAACATTATTTATAGCTGAGCCATATGTGGTACTGTATTACATTCTAGAGGGAGGTAACCAGTCTAGATTGGAGGATAGAGGAAGATAAAATCAAAGTGACTTATGTGTTTGAACACACAAAAGGAGATTTATACTTCTGAGAAATTGGCACTGAATGAATGATAATACAAACAAAACTAAGCACATGAAAAACAAGGCAATTATTAAACTACAGGAATAAAAATATTTAAAAATATAAAAAACGTAAAATAACCATAATTACTGTTCTAATACACATTAAAGCCTTTACAGCTTTCGAACTCTTAAGTGCAAAATGAGGAAAAGAAACTTGAGGTTCTGGGCTCAGGTGGAGTCCAGCCTAGTCTATGCACTTGGTTGCCTCTTCGCCTCAAGTGAGACATAGTTCAACTCTCAGGGTCTATTTCCTGAGGGATAGTCATTCCTACTTTGCAAAAATGATGTGAAGATTAAACAAACTATAGCATGTAGAGTGCTCAACACAACGCCTAGCCCAGTTTTGTTTTTTTTTTTGAGTTGAAGTCTCACTCTTGTCACCCAGACTGGAGTGCAGTGGCCGCTCCCAGCCACCGCAGTGTCCATCTGCTGGGTTCCGGCGATCCTTCCGCCTCAGCCTTCCAAGTAGCTGGAACTACAGGTGCGCGCTACCACGCCTGGCTAATTTTTGATTTATTGTAGAGATGAGGTCTCGCCTGCCCAGGTGGGTCTCGAACCCACTGGCTCAGGCAATCCACTCACCTCAGCCTCCCAAAGGCGCAGGATTACAGGCTGAGCCACCGAGCCGGCTTGCCTAGCCCAGTTTAAGAACCAATACATAGGAGCTGTTAAGAATGGATTATTTCCAACCTGCTCTATTGCCAAATGGAAAAATTCCAATAAATATAATCCAAATGGACTTTTGTTAATGGGTGTGTGGGAGCAGCAGACATACAGGTACTTTCCTTTTTTTCTTGAGTCAGAATCTCTCACTCTGTCGTACAGGTTGGAGGGCAGTGGCATGCTCACAGCCATCACAGCCTGGACCTGCTAGGCTCAGACAATTCTTCTACCTCAGCCTTCCAAGTAGCATGCACCACAGGCATGCACCAGCTGATTTTTTGATTTGTTGTAGAGATTAGGTCTCGCCAAGTTGCCCAGGCTAGTCTCGAACCTGTGGGCTCAGGCAATCCTCTCACCTCAGCCTCCCAAAGTACTAGGATTATAGGTGTGAGCCACTGCACCCAGCCTTACAAGTACATTTCACACAAAAAAATATTAAAATATTATGCCTGCATCAAAACTAAAAGTTCAAGAAAAAAAAACCCCGATACATTTAAAAAGTTTTTATATCAAATTCATTTTTTCAAGAGTCACTGATATCTAAGAATTCTGGTGCTAATAACACCTTCCTGTTACACATATATTCTTTATATCAGCACTCTCCATTGTAACTTTCTGCAATGACAGAAATGTTCTGTATTTGCATGGAATCATACCACAGGCACTAGCCACATGTCATTATGGAGTGCTTGAAATGTGGCTTGTACAACTGAGAAAGTTATTTCAAATTTTAAAATTTGACATAAATGTGAACAGCCACATGTGGCTATAGTGAAGAATATATTGCATCGATCAGTTTTGTATGATTTGGTTGCTAAATTGCTTGTGAAAATCTACATTAATATACATAAATTATTTTAAGAGTTATTGTATAATTATGTTCAAATAAGTACATCAGCTGCTAGAAACAATACAAGCAGCCCAGTGAGGATTTTTTAGAGATGTACTATTATTTAAAAATCTTGGTTTGGGATTATTAAAAGATCTACCCCATATTTCTTGTACTACACAGCACTAAAAAAAAAATTGGGTGGGCATCGGTGGCTCAGCTTGTAATCCCAGCACTTTGGGAAGCTGAGGTGAGAGGATTGCATGAGCCCAGGGGGTTCAAGACCAGCCCAGGCAACTTGGGGTGAGACCTCATCTCTACAATAAATCACAAAAACTAGCCAGGCATGGTGGCGTGTGTCTGTAGTTTCAGTTACTTGGAAGGCTGAGGTGGAAGGATCACCTAAACCCAGCAGGTTGAGGTTGTGGTGGCCATGAGTGTGCCACTACACTCCAGCCTGGGTGACAAAAGTGAGACTACAACTCAAAAAAAACCAGTGATTCTTGAAATATAACTACCCAAACAAAAATATCCAATCAACTTTTTTCTTTTTTGATGAATTTGAAGAGTTCTTGAGATAGCCACATTGACAGTTGGCTGGCACACACCAGCACCTCTGGACATTTCGCCATCACTTAAGTTGTAGTCTTGACACCAGGCTCATAGGTTTATTCTGCCCTTCCCAACAGTGCCTGGCACATGGAGGAATTCCCTTAAAAAAGCAGGGAATGCATAGAAAACAAGTGGCATGTTTTATAAAACTCTACATTTATTGAAAGTGTTAAAAGATTTCACTCTACCCTCCAAAATATTTTACACTTTAAAAAAATCAAAACTATTTTCAGTTTTCTCAGCCATTGTACAAGTTGCTGCTTCCTTCTCAGGACCAGTCTCTGCCCCTCCAATCTTCTTTCTCCTCCCAATATTGCTACGAATTTGTTTATAAAACCCTCCATTCTCTCTCCCCCCATCCCCTACCCTGCCCAGCACGGCTTTTCTTTCCAGTTTCAAGCTTTTGGCTGCAAATGAAGCTGAGTGGATGGGAGGAATACACAGGCAATGCTGAAGGGGAAATAGTATGCTTTGTACCTCTAGGAGAACAGCTAGCTGGCCTTTTTTCTTGGTCAAGCAGAGAATTTTTTAAAAGAGGTTTCACTGTCTTGCCCAGGCTGGAGTTTAAGTGGCACATTCACAGCTCACCGCAGCCTAGAACTCCCGGGCTCAAGCAATCTTCACCTCAGCCTCCCAAGTAGCTGTGACTCTAGGCATGCACGACCAAGCCTGGCTGATTTTTTGTAGAGACGAGGTCTCACTACATTGCCCAGACTGGTCTTGAACTCCTGGGCTCAAGCAGTCCTCCTGCCTTGGTTCCCAAAGTGCTAGGATTACAGGTTTGAGCCACTGTGACCAACCCATTCTTTTTTGTCCCAAGGACACCTATTCAGAGCCAAATATTTGGCTTAGGGTTGTTCACAGCCATGTAGCCCTGCCCTTTTCTCAATTGCCCCAGGTGTGGGTCCATGATAGCTGGGTCTGATGACTGTACCATTTGTCTGCCTGTATTTTGTTAGGGGCAGGAAAAGGACTAGAGTGGGGCTTGATGAAGCCCCACTCAGAGTGTGGGTACCAAACCCCCAAAGGGAAGGAAGTTTTGGTTTCATGGTAGGCAAAGCCAGGGCAAGCCAGGACCATGGAAGGTAGGGAAATGGGAGAAAAGGTCTAACCACACAGCTCTGGGATGCAGCAGTGTTCCTTCTGAAAAGCCCCCTGTCCATCCCTCCACACCGTCATCCTGCAGGTCCCAGGATAATTCCCAAAGAGAAGAAATAAAAGGAAAAGGATTCTGTTCTGCGGATGGTAAAAAGGCAGGAGATGACACAGTGTTCAGAGCTGGGGAGAGAGGCCTGCAAGCATCTGTAGTTGTCACTGCTTTGTTGTTCTGTGAGGGAGTTTGGGGGAGGGGCCAGGAGCCAGGCCCTCAGAGGCTTCATCAACTCTGTTCCTTATCCTTGACTAATAAGACTGTGTGCTGGCCCCCACTGGACACAGACAAGACCACACGATTCTCCAGCTGTTTGCCTGTCATCTCCACGGGGCTCCACGCGTCTTCTTCCTGCCCTGTCCCCAGCTGGAAGTTGGTGCCCATGCCCCAGGCAAAAACACGACCTGCAGGGGAGAGAAATGGGGGCAGCTTTCTCCAAAATTTCCAGCCCCATCTTTCTGTAATGTGAGAAACCTGGGACATGGGGGTGAATTTTAGCTTTGGTCAACAGCAGCCTGGCAAGGTCCCATCCTCCGGCAGTTCAGAGAAGTTGGGAGAATCCAAGGAGATGAGTAAAAGAGAATTTTGTAAACCAGAGACAACAGTCTTTACACATTGCCAGAGGCTTCTCCCTGCTCCTAGGCATGGCTTTCAAGGTCCTACACAACTGGCCACTACCCAAAGTCCTAGACCACCATCTGTTCTCAGGACCACCTTTGAGAATACTCTGGATGTTCCTGTCTGGGATGCCACTCACTGCTGTTCACAAAGGATTGAAACTCTGCCTATCCCAGATTTCTAAAGGATCTCCCTGGCTGTTCCTTTCACCCACTCAGGCTTTGGCAGCCACCTGTTCATACCCTTCTCTGGTGTGCATACCAGGACTCTGACTACTCAGCCTTCTTTCTCCTGATAAGATTCTAAGTACAAGTCCCTGGGAAGCTGGCAAATATTAGTAGGTACATAAAAAAGTTGCCATGATAGAGAATATAGAGAGAAGCCTGATTCGAGAGTCTGGAGACCTGGGTTCAAGTTCTACTGCCTCTCTGGGCCTCAGTGATATCTCACTCTTAGATGTTTCTCTCTTCTGCAGAACAAGTCACCTTTATTAAAATAATGTGTTTATGCCAGGCACGGTAGCTCAAGCCTGTAATCCCAGCACTATGGGAGGCAGAGGAGAGAGGATTGCCTGAGCTCACGGGTTTGAGACCAGCCCAGGCAACTTGGTGAGACTTCATTTCTACAATAAATCAAAAATTAGCTGGGGGTGGTGGCACACATCTGTAGTCCCAGCTATTTGGGAGGTTGAGGCAGAAGGATCACCTAAGTCTAGCAGATCAAGGCTGTGGTGGCCATGAGCATGCCACTGCACTCCAGCCTGAGTGACAGAGTGAGACCCCGACTCAAAAAATATACATATACATGTTTACTCGTTTTATGTTTGTCAAAGTCAGAGCTTCTAAGAATCAATAGCAAAGTGTCATCACAAACACTGCTCTCTGCAGCTCAGCCCCACCTGATAGTGAACTCTGTAGCCTGCTGGGAATTTCGTGAGAATCCCAATCCCCAGGTCCCAACCAGACTGAGTGTGGGCAGCCCCACTCACCATCTTTGGTCACAGCATACCCCACAGAGGCCCCACAAGCCACTGAGGAGACGGCAGGCAGCCTGGAGATGAGAGTAGGTATGCTCTTCTCCTCAGCACCTTCCCCAAGGCCCAGCCGCCCATACTCAGCCCGGCCCAGACTGTATGCTTTTCCTGTGAGAGAAGGGAGAGAGATGAGCAGCAGCAGAGGGCATGCACTAGGCAAAATGAGCAGTAGGCCAAGTGAGTCTCCATGTCTGTGGGAGCTTGCCCTGTTCTCAAAGCAATCAGAAGGAGTGTTTCTTCCCAATTTTGGGGAAAGTCTAGAAGAACCTCCACATAGGCCCCCTCTGAACTCACACTTGAAAGAGCACCAGGACTCTAAGGGTTTGGGGGTGACCCTCATGGGCCCACGTCTGGCCCAACCCATGGAACAGACCTAGGCTTCAAGTACCATGGGTCTTAGGAATCTGGCTAGGCCTGAGCCCAGGGACACTCTGTTCCCAACCAAGAGAAGGACCTGGAGGTCCTACCTTCTGAATCCATGCAGACTGTATGGTGTTGGCCACCAGAGAAGCCCACCCAGGACTTGGTGGAGTTCTTGAAGGCTGTTAGGTTCTGGGGTATGAAGCAAGATTCTGTGCCTGGAGTTCCTGGAGGAAAGACCAAAATAGAGCCATCAAAGTGAAGGTGTCTTGGGAGCTGCCCTTCTCAATCCCCTCCCACAATGAGGCCATCTGTCATCAGGATATGGATATTTTCACTTTACAGATGACAAAACTGTGGCTCTGAGGGGTTACATGACCCCACAAAGGGTGCAAATGAGTAAGTGGTAGAGCCAGGACTGAAACTCAAGTCACTGGGTCATGCCTGATGCTGAGTCAGGACTTACCAAGCTGATGGTAGTTGGAGAGTCCAAAGCCATATACATGGCCCTCACGGGAGATGGCAAAGGTGAAATAGGCGCCACAGAAGGCATCTTGGAATTTCACATGGCCCCGGCTTCCCCTAGATTTTAGCATCACACACTTGGGGACCAGGAGTCGTTCTGCAGACAGAGAAGAAGCCACAGTCAGTGACAGACACATATACAAGACCTCTCTTTTCTCTGCCTCTCCATTACAAAAGCTCTTGGAGGGAGGCTAAGCAGGGACTCATATCAATTTTACAGAACAGGAAACTGAGGTCAAGAGAATACAAGCCTTGCTCAGATTCCCAGTCATTAGAGGTAACATTGACATGAAACTTACTATATGCCAGACATTCTTCTAATTCATTCATTTAACATCTCAGGAACCTAATGAAGGTTTAGAGGTAGGTAGGTTTAGAGATGAGGAAACTATGTGAAATTCAATTAAAAAAAAAAAAGTAAGTAAGAAATTATGTCAGGCCAGGGTCGATGGCTCAGCCTGTAATCCCAGCACTTTGGGAGCCCGCGGGTTCGAGACCTGCCTGGGTAACTCGGTGAGACCTCATCTCTACAATAAATCAAAAATTAGCTGGGTGTGGTAGCGTGCACCTGTAGTTCCAGCTACTTGGAAGGCTGAGGCGGAAGGATCGCCGGAGCCCAGCAGGTCGAGGCTGCGGTGGCCGGGAATAGCCAATGCACTCCAGTCTAGGTGACAGAGTGAGACTCCAACTCAAAAAAAAAAAAAAGAAGAAAAAAGAAATTATGTCCAGCATCCCACAGTGAGTAGGTGGCACAATCAGGATTTGAATCCAGGGTACCTTGTTGCCTCCAGAGTCTGAGTTCTTAACCAACACTACTAGTCAATGTGATATAAGCCTGAACAAAGAAACTCCCTTCTGTCTTTGTCCTTCCTGGGAGAGTGGCTTGCCAATCTGCCCCACTGGAGGTACCAAAGCTACTTACCAAGGCCCTGCCGGCCACCACGGTTGGCAAATAACTCAGGCACACGGCCTAGCTGTCCCTGCTCTCCACAGCCCAAGGTGTAGAGATCGCCATCAATTGTTAGCATCACCAAGTGGTCGTTTCCTGAGGGTGAGAGGAAGGTGGGGGATGCAGGGTTTGTCTGAAAGGCCCAAGGCTGGGTTAACACAGGACAAGGTTCTCCAACTCCTGCCCAAAGTGAGTACCCCCAGACTCACCTGAGGCCACCTTCACCACAGGCACATCCAGCTGCACCTGCACAGGCACCATACTCTTCTTCATGGGCTCCAACAGCCCGATCACACCGTTATTGTCCTAAAAGGAAGGGAAAGAGCATTTATCAGACAGTCCTACCTGACCATACCAGTCACATACAGGCTTGAAGGCAGCCACAGAGCTGTCTGGTGAAGGGGATGTAAGCAGATGGGGATGGAGAGCCAGGCAAGAGCCAGGCCACATACTGAAATACTTATGAAACGCCCATCAGATTCTGTGATGTTCGACATTTCAAAAATAAATAATAAAGTACCAAGGCGATTTTAATGCTGAATCTGTTATTTATTTTTTAATTGGAGTCTCACTCTGTTGCCCAGGCTGGAGTGCAAGTGGCATGCTCATGGCCACTGCAGCTATGACCTGCTGGGCTCAGGTGATCCTTCCACCTCAGCCTTCCAAGTAGCTGGAACTACAGGTGCATGTCACCACGCCCGGCTAATTTTTTGATTTACTGTAGAGATGAGGTCTCGCCAAGTTGCCTAGGCTGGTTTCGAACCCGTGGGCTCAGGCAATCCTCTCACCTCGGCCTCCCAAAGTGCTAGGATTATAGGCGTGAGCCCCCATAATTCCAGCCTGAATCTATTTTTTAAACTATACTCCCCTACATTGGAAACTCTAAGTTGGGACAATTCTTGCCTCCATACCTCCCCAACCCAAGCCTCTAGGAAGTATGGAAAAGGCAGCATTGCAAAGGCAAGAGAGAGGCAAAAGACAGATAGATGCGTAAGGACAGCAGGCTTCCTGGATCAGCCTCAACTTATCCTTGGCCCACAAGTCCCAGGACATATACTGCATAACATCAGATTCAAGGATGCAGCCAGTGGTGTGGACACACCTGGATGTAGAAGCCAGAGACCGGGGTCTGGGCCTCAGTTCTACCTGTGGGCTTTTATCTCCCCACCAGTAAGTACCACAGATGGAATGGAGGCAGATTACCTCTGGATCCCACCAGTTAATTCTACCTGCCAGGCCCCATGCCATCTTCCAGATCCAGCCTTACCCGGAAGGAGCCCCAGAGGAAGACACGGCCATCATCGGTGAGAGCTGCTGTGTGACTATCTCCTGCTGACACCTGTACCACCTTCTCTTGTAGTTCCACTTTCCCAGGGACCATCTCTGAGCCCTCCACTGATGTGTCCCTTCCCAGGGCACCCTCATCATTGCAGCCGAAGGAGTAGACCTGTGCCCAACATGCCCCCATTAGTATAAGGTCTGGACATGCAGTCCATTCTTGTTTAGGCCACTCCCTGCTTTGCAAACCAGCACCATCTCCACAGGGAAGCATGTGTGGCTCAAAGGTCCCAAGCCTCCCAATCCCAGGCCTTGTTCAACCCCCAAAACCTACCTGGCCACTTTTGCTTAGACACACGGTGTGCATGCCCCCAGCTTCGGCCTGCACAACATCCTCTGGAACGGACACCAGGGCTGGCTTCTTCCTCTCCATCACATTCTCCCCCAGTCCCAGCTGGCCCACGTCACCCTGGCCCAGTGTCAGCACTAAGCCTGGTTCTGTGCTGTGGGACCTGTGTGAGACTGAGGGATGAAGACAACAGTCCCTGAGTGTGCAGGATGAGAGCAGCAAGGAGAGGGCACTTCATGGGCTCTGGGATTACGCAGACCTAGGTTCAAGCCCCTGCTCTGCCACAGACTATTAGTATGACCCCTACGCTTCCTCATCTGTGAAACAGAAATTACAAAAGTACCTATCTCATCGGTTTTTTGTGAAGATTAAAAACTGAGCATATTATTAATGCGAGGTAGGTAATGGAAACAAGGAGACCCAACACTGTGAAACGAGTCTCAGTGGAGAGAGGAAGAGAACAGTGAGGACACAAGATAGCTTTCCTAATTAGCTGTATGTTATTGGTCAGAAGTCATGGTGCCAACACTCAGGGTTCAGATAAGAATGTCTACCCTTTGCTGCCTGGGTGGCACAGAGCATTCTGATGGCCAATGGAGGCCGCCCGCAGCTTCTGACAGTCAATGGCATCTAACCCCTCCCCCCAGGGATGTGGCCACAGCTGCCAGGACCACTGCGGTTGTGTAGAGAGTGCACTTGGTGGGGAGCCACCTGGTTGGGTTTTCTGGTCAGGAGGGTACAACCTGCAGGTACCTGGGCAGGAATGGGCATCGGTAACGCGGCGGGAGGCAGCAACCCTCGCGCCTGCAAAAGACAGACACTATCTGAGCACAGGTCCATACTGGCCCCTCCCAAATTGGGAGTGGCTTTTCTCTCCTCCCTACCCCCCTCCAGCATCTCAGGAGAAAGGAAACCACAGCCACCTCCCTCAGATGCTACCAAGCCATTGTCTTATTTAATCTTCACACAGCCCAGAGAGATTGTGTTGCTCTTGCCTCCATTTTATAAAGTGGATAATCCAAGTTTAGCGAGGCTAAATGACTTGCCCGTGGTCACACAGCTAGAAAGTGGCAGAGCCAGGACTTGAACCCGCATCTGGAAATCAGTGGTCCTAACTGTGACGTATTACTGCCTGGGAAAGTCCTAAGACCTAGTTTTTTGCCAGTACTGCCTGAGTGTTTTAGGAGTCTCTGCCCCACTGTGATTTCCAGAGGGTGAGAGTCAATGAGCAATGACTCCAGCTAGGTGGGGTCCCTGGACATTCAAGGCCCTTAGCTTCAAGTATCAGAGAGGCAGGATTCTAGTCCCAGATTTTCAGGGCTCCAAGAAGCCACCCATACCCAGAAAGAAGGCACAGCCAACTTACCCTTCACCTTCTTGCTTTTGGGTATGGCATCTTCTGGGGGTGACCTTCTCTTAGTTATGCGCTTGGGTGGCATCTTCCTGTCCTGAAAAACACAGTCAAATATTATGATTTTTTTTTTTGAGTTGTAGTCTGCCCAGGCTGGAGTGCAGTGGTACGATCATGGCCACTGCAGCCTCAACCTCAAGGTACAGGTGATCCTTCCACTTCAGCCCTCCAAGTAGAGGAACTACAGGCCCACACCATCATATCCAGTTAATTTTTTGAATTATTGTAGAGACAAGGTCTCACCAAGTTGCCTAGGCTGGTCTCAAATCTGTGGACTCAGGCAATCCTCTTGCCTCAGTCTCCCCAAGTGCTGGGATTACAGGCATGAGCCACACTGCATCCAGCTTACACAGTCAAATACTACATGTCAGAAATGACGATCATTTTTGTATCCTAATTAGACAATAATTATCAAAAAACCTATAAAAAGGTAAGAAGAATTCCCCAGCAATTCTACTTCTCAAAATTTATCCCCAAAACAGAATGATGAATGCACCCAAATGTTAAGTTCCACATGTATTCTCTACAGTATTCTTCATGAAATAAAAAACAACAGCAGCAAAAATGGAGAAACCCATGTGCTCAATATTAGTGGACTAGTTAGATAATATGAGTATATTCATGACAGAACAGAATAAAGTCATTAAAAGAAAAATATGTGGAAGAAAAATATCCAATATTAACAACTGTAACGTCTGGAAAAGGAGATTATGGACAATTTTTTACTTTTCTTTGTACCTTCCTATACGATTTAAGATGTTTAATGAGAATCATTACATGTATTAAAAAAAGTTTTTTTAGTCTGTTATAAAACAATTAAAAACATCAAAGAACAATGTTAAGTAAAATATCCCTCATAATTCCTTCCAACACTGTAAATTTGGTGATACGCTAATATAGTCAGGGGCAGGGGAAAGTTATTTTCTTTTTTTTTTTTTGAGTTAGAGTCTCACTCTGTCGCCCCAGACTGGAGTGTAGTGGCCACTTCCGGCCACCGCAGCCTCAACCTGCTGGGCTCCGACGATCCTTCTGCCTCAGCCTTCCAAGTAGCTGGAACTACAGGCGTGCGCTACCATGACCAGCTAATTTTTTTTTTTTATTTATTGTAGAGATGAGGTCTTGCCAAGTTGCCCAGGTAGGTCTCGAACCCGCAGGCTCAGGCAATCCACTCACCTCAGCCTCCCAAAGCACGGGATTACAGGCTGAGAGCCACCGAGCCCAGTGAAAGTTATTTTCATTAAATAAAACCAAACCAAAGTAAAGTGCAGTGGCTCATGCCTATAATCCCAGCACTTTGGGAGGCCAAGGCAAGAGGATTGTTTGAGTCCAGGAGTCTGAGACCGGCCTAGGCAACAGAGTTTTGTAGAGAACTTGTCTCTACAAAAAAAAAAAAACGAAAAACAAGTTGGCTGGATGTGGTGGTGTGCACCTATAATCCCAGCTACTCTGGAGGCTGAGGCAAGAGGACTGCCTGAGAACGGGAGGTTGAGGCTGTGGTGAGTTGTGATTTTGTCACTACACTTAGTCTGAGAAACAGTAAGACCCCAACTCAAAAACAAAAAAACAAGTGAGCAAACAAACAAAAAAAACAAAACCAGACCATTTATCCCCTTTGATCCAGAAGCGCCAGGCCTGGGAAGAGGCTGGCTTTCTTACACAATCCAACAAGATAAAAACTATATATAGACTCACACTAACATACAGACATCAGGTGTTACAAAATGGGAAAAGGAAACCACCTGAGGGTGCCAAGAGAGTTGGACACAGGAAGATCCAGGGCAGCGGAAAGCCTCAGCCCTGAGCCTGTCCTCTCCATTACCTGGGGCTCTCTCCAGTGCCCCCATGTCATCTCCAGGCTGCTGGAAACAGAGACATTCTCCCCAGTTCTCTCAATTCCAAGCCAGCCCACATTCTGTCCAAAGTCTTTTGTTTCTCCACACATGCAACTCTGAAATATATCTTTTTGAGCCCTCATCTTTAAGTTGTCTAAGCCAGGGACTTCCAAACTCTATACTGTGATCCTCTGGAATGGACGCTGGGGGCGAAGTGCTCTGCAGCTATGCAGATGAAGAAGTGATGTAGCATGTGGTCGTTAAGAGCGCAGCCTCTGAGGCCAGAATCTGGACTCAGCTACTTTCTTTTTTTTTTTTTTTCAGGGAAAGACATGGGTTTATTAAAACTTGAGGAAGGCACCAATGATGGCTGGTGAGTAAAGAATCTGTACCTTGGGATGGTACAGCAAGTAGCTTTATAATCAAGCAAGTTATTTATTCAAATTGCAATATGGTATCTCGACTACTTTCTTTTTTTGTTTTTTTAAGCTGGAGTCTCACGCTGTCACTCAGACTGGAGTGCAGTGGCCGTTCCCGGCCACCGCAGCCTCAACCTGCTGGACTCTGGCGATCCTTCCACCTCATCCTTCCAAATAGCTGGAACTACAGGTGTGTGCTACCACACCCAGCTGATTTTTTGATTTATTGTAGAGATGAGGTCTCGCCAAGTTGCCCAGGCGGGTCTCGAACCCACGGGCTCAGGCAATCCACTCACCTCAGCCTCCCAAAGGCGCGGGATTACAGGCTGAGCCACCAAGCCCAGCTTCCACTACTTTCTAACTGACCTTGGGCAGTCATTTAATCTCACCATTCAGTCTGCTCCTCAGTAAAAGGGGGATAATAATAGTCCCTATACCTTGTGTGATATGTACAATTAAATGAGCTAACACTGTGAAAGTTCTTATACAGTAAATGTTCCATAAATTAATACTGATGTTATTATAATGTCTAGGTCCTGGCCTAGGTAATACTCAGGCACAGTCCCACTTGGGAACCAGTGATCAAATCTAATTCACCTCATGATGAGGAATAGAAATTCTAACTAGGGTCAGAAATGGTAGAACTCAAAGGGCCCGTCTCTCTCAGCTGTAGGCCGAACTAGCACAACCCCATTCCCTCCTTCTAGTAGGTCCTAAGAGCCTCAGCCTCTCCAGCTTCCCCCTCCATGGTACATGAACACAAGGTGAGGTACTTTTCTATATATTTTCTTGAGGAAGGAAAACAACATACTAAAGATGGAAAAGTAACCAAGGGCCTAGAATCCTGCCAAGCCTGTGCAGGCTGAGCTCCTGCAGGTTGTGACTGGTTCAGTTCTGATTCCGATGAACTTCACCCAACTTTTTTTATTCTCCTGGGGTGAGACTCCTCCCCTTCAAACTGCCTCTTTGAGACTCCTCTTCCCACATTAAAAATGCATGTTCCCGCCAGGCTCTGTGGCTCAGTCTGCAATCCCAGCACTTAGGGAGGCCGAGGCAAATGGATTACCTGAGCCAATGGGTTCAAGACCAGCCCAGGCAACTTGGCGAGACCTCATCTCTACAATAAAAATAAGAAATAGCCGGGTGTAGTAGCACACGTCTGTAGTTCTGACTACTTGGAAGGCTGTGGTGGAAGGATCGCTGGAGCCCAGAAGGTCGACACTGGGGTGGCTGTGAACATGCATGCCACTACACTCCAGCCTGGGCAAAGAAGTGAGACACCAACTCAAAAAAAAAAAAAGCATGTTCCAGACCAGGCATGGTGGCTCACACCTGTAATCCCAGCACTTTGGGAGGCTAAGGCCAGAGGAATGCTTGAGTCCAGGGGTTTGAGACCAGCCTGGGTAACATAGCAAGACCTAATCTCTACAAAAATTAAAAAATTAGCCAGGTATGGTGGCATGTGCCTGTAGTCCCAGTTGCTCGGGAGACTAAGGTGGAAGGATCACTTGAACCCGTGAGGTCAAGGCTGTGGTAAGCCATGACTGCCACGGCACTCAGCCTGGGCAATAGAGTGAGACCCTGGCTCAAAAAAAAAAAAGTAAAAAATGGCCGGGCGCTGTGGTTCATGCTTGTAATACCAGCACTTTGAGAGGCAGAGATGAGAGGATTACCTGAGCCCAAGGGTTTAAGACCAGCCTGGGCAATTTGGCAAGACCTTGCCTCTTCAATAAATCAAAAAATTAGCTGGGTGTGGTCGTGAGCACCTATAGTTCCTTCCACCTATTTGGAAAGTTGAAGCAGAAGACCACCTGAGTCCAGCAGGTTGAGGCTGTGGTGGCCATGAGCATGCCATTGCACTCTAGCCTGGGTGACAGAGAGAGACTCCGACTAAAAAAAACAAAGAAAAGTAAAAAATAAACTTGCAGCCGGGCTCAGAGGCTCAGCCTGTAATCCCGCGCCTTTGGGAGGGTGAAGTGAGTGGACTGCCTGAGCCCGCGGGTTCGAGACCCGCCTGGGCAGCGAGACCTCA